TCGGCAAAGTTAATCGGCAAAATTAATCGGCAAAATTAATCGGCAAAGTTAATCGGTAAAGTTAATCGGCAAAGTTAATCGGCAAAATTAATCGGAAAAATTAATCGGAAAAATTAATCGGCAAAGTTAATCGGCAAAGTTAATCGGCAAAATTAATCGGTAAAGTTAATCGGCAAATTTAATCGGCAAATTTAATCGGCAAAATGAATCGGCAAAATTAATCGGCACAGTTAATCGGCAAAATTAATCGGCAAAGTTAATCGGTAAAGTTAATCGGCAAAGTTAATCGGCAAAATTAATCGGAAAAATTAATCGGAAAAATTAATCGGCAAAGTTAATCGGCAAAGTTAATCGGCAAAATTAATCGGTAAAGTTAATCGGCAAAGTTAATCGGCAAAGTTAATCAGAAAAATTAATCGGAAAAGTTAATCGGCAAAGTTAATCGGCAAAATTAATCGGCAAATGTAATCGGCAAAGTTAATCGGCAAAGTTAATCGGCAAAGTTAATCGGCAAATTTAATCGGAAAAATTAAGCGAGAAGGTGGGTCATCACCTGACGTCAGCACAAAGCTGTGGCTTTTGGCTCCATGTTTACTCGATGTGTTAAGGATGTTCTTGTTCTGGTTTGTTTTTTCTTTGTGTTCAGATGCAGAGCCCTCGGCCCAGGAGGCTCTAGGCACCGGAGGGGAGGTGATCCGGGTGAGTACCGGTGAGCAAGGTGAGCGTGTGACTCCGGTCAGAGCCAGTGAGCTCATTCGGCAGCCGGGCTTCAATGGGATAAGAGCTCCTCCTTTCTTTCATGGGATGGGACTTCTCGAGCTATTCCTGCTTTATGGAAGCATCAGCTTTGGCATCCAAAGAAGCAGAGCTGGATATGGCAATGAAGAGGATTACACTCAAATGCAGGGGTTTTAAATTTAATAATTTTGTGTGCTGTGTTGGTAAGGTGCTTTTGTAACTTGTTATGTTTTTTTCTTTTCCTTAGGAGCCTTGCATCTTTTGGGATCTCCTGATCATCTCAACTGCAGCTTGGCATTTTTTCACAAGTGTTATCCGGT